CTGTCACTTTGGATCTTTTCTGTTTCCCTTCTTACCCATCTTGGTTTGGCCTCCTTCTGCAGCATGGACCCAAGAATTTCCACTAAAATTGAGGATATATGGCTTGCTGGGGTGCCAGCAGACACAGCTCTCCTGTTTTCAGTGTAATTTCCTACTCACCCCCCACCCTCCCAACAACCCCTTCCTAGATTTATCATAAAAGGCAATAATGAGATCTCTGATGGGATTGAGCAATGACGAAGAATGGTTCCAGGAGGAAAATTACAACTGGAAGATGTCCACCAGGATTCACTATTGGTTGTAAAAGAAATCCATTAACTTCCCAAATGGTCCTTTGAGGGATTCCATTTGGGTCCCTGAGAATGCGCCTCCCCACTGGCAGCATCACTATTTGGCACGGAGCCCGGCTCTTTGCCCTGCTGAGTCAGGAGTGGAGCTGTAAAACCTCAGGCTCTGAGGAGGGCAGTCCTGGGTTTGAATTCTTGCTGTTCTCCTGAGCAGCTGTGTGATTTCTGGCAAGACATTTATTTACGCCTTGGTTTCCCCACCAGTAAAACAGGAATAGCAGAGCATGCTTCTTCACGCTCATGGGATTGTTGCAAAATGAATGAGGTAGTCAAGATAAAGCTCGTAGTGTTTGGCACATCCCATGTGCTTAATACAGCGAGTTTCAACCTTTCTCATCTCATGGCACACATAAGCTAATCATTAAAATCCTGCGGCACACCAAAAGATATATTTTTTTACAGATCTGCCAAAAAGAAAAAAGTATAATTTGGATTCCTTCACACTGCGTGGCTATTGTTGTGTTGGCTGGTGTCATTTTTAAATTGACAATCTAAGGGGAAAGAGATCAGTGCCCCTGACTAAATAGTCAGGTATTGCATGTTTTAAAAATTCTTGCAGCACACCAGTTGAAAATCCCTGGCTTAATAGATGGCAGCCATTGGTATCGGTTCAATTCAACACACTTTCCCGAGAGCTTATTAATTACCAGACACCCTGTTCAACCCTGTGTGGGATAGAGGGACAATTCTCCCAAGAGCCTGTTTTCCTCCTTGGGAAGGCTTTGTTCAAAAGGGATAGAGGAGAGGGCCATGGGAGAAAGAGCTCTTTTGTAACTAAATACAAAAATGCATGCTGACATACAATTCTAGAGAGGTAGGATAGTCAATTGGTTAAGTACATGGATTGCGGGGCCAGCCATTCTCTGTGTGGTAAACACAACAATGCCCTTGATGTTAGCCCAATGACACTTGTGTGGGACTTCTGACCAAGAGGACTGTAAGATAATAAATATGTATTACTATAACAACCTAGTAAAAACTGATATACTCTGGCCTGCAGATTTACAAATTCTAAGAGGTAGTATAGCACATTGGTTAAGAACATGGACTTGAGGGCCAATTTGCTTGGGTTCTAATCCCAGATGTGTTACTTACTTATTAGATGCATGACCATAGGCAAGTAATTTAACTTCAGGTCCCTTAATTTTTTCATCTGCTACAGGAATGATAACATAGGCACTCATACTAGTTAGGGTAAGAGCGTACGCTAAAAGAAAAGAATATTACAGAGATGCAATAATAATGCAATTTGAAAACAAAGATACTTCTTTCTTTCTCACATCACAGTTAAAGGTGAATGTCCACTTGGCATTGGCCAGGTGGGCCGTGGCTCCGCCTTTGTAAATGGTGGCATCCAAAATTTTTCTAATCCCTCTAACAGAAATCTAGGGAAAGAGGTGTCTCCTTAAGAAAGTGGAGGGGAATACATAAAAAAAAAAGAAAAAAAAGAAAGTGGAGGGGAAGTACTATTCACATTGCATTGAAGAATCCAACCATTAGTAGTTATTTTTTCCCCCAGATTCTTGGGGGCCTTCCTGTCATTCTAACACAAATATCACATAAGAAATATATACTCAATCCTATTATATCTTATATCTAATCTTTAAAAATCAAGCATATTAGCTAACCCTCTACCTATTTTACAAATAAAAAAATAGGAGTCTAAAAGGCCAGGTAACTTCAAAACCCACACATTTACATTTAACCAAAGTATGTTTCCCATTTAAGTGATATTAAAAAACTAAAGAACAACCATCACAATTTAAGAACAGAAAGGATGAAGGAAAAAAATTAAAATAAACAAGAGACTAATTAGGGAGACAAGTGTAACAAACATTAGACAAGACATAAGTCAGGATACAGGAGCTCCAGGGTCACTCTGCCTTTATCTGCCTGACTTGGGTAAATCCATTCTCCTCTCTGGGTCTCAGTTTCTTCGTCTGTAGGGTAAAGTCATGGATTAAAATGACTCTCTTGCCGGCCAGTGTGGCTCAGTGGTTGAGCGTTGACTTATGACCCAGGAGATCATGGTTCGATTCCTGGCCAAGGCATATGCCCTGGGTTTCGGGCCTCTCATGCCCAGCAGGGGGCGTGCAGGAGGCAGCCAACCAATGACTCATCACTGATGTTTCTCTCCCTCTCCCTTCCTCTCTCTGAAATCAATAAAAACATTTAAAAAAAGATTCTCATTCCAGCTCTGACATTCTGTGATTGTTTGGAAACTAGTGAAACCAGAAATATGTAAGCAGAAAGAAATGATATGGTTTTAAAAATTGCCCCAGTTAAGGGAATAATCAGAGTGGAGAAAGCCCCAGTGACCAAAACAAGGAAATCAGATGAGCCTCAGGGCTCAGAAGACAAGCTACAACCTGCTGGCCAGTCATACCTGCTCTTCACATTGCTTCTGAGGGCAGCCCCAGCCTTGAGCACAGAGCAGTGAATGCAAGTTTTTAGGGGAAATCCTGGGCGTGGAGGCTAAGCCCAGGGAGATAGCTAGTTCTGGATAGTCCTGTCCCCAGCCAAAACAAGCTGAGTTCCCAAAGAGAAGTATAAGGGGCTCTTCCTTGGAAGAAGGGAGTAAGAAAGGTGTCTCAGCCTGCTTGGTGCATGGGCCAGCAACTGGGCTAGGAAACCAGAAAGAACGTTTCTAAACCCTGGCTTTGCACATGGAGGATGTGTGATCATAAATTGCTCAACCTCTATGGATCTCAGTTTTATGACATATGAAATGAACAGAATTTATAGGAGAAGAAAATGTAAGATATACTGAACTTTAAGTGCTCTAGGCACTCTTATCAATGACTTCATTTACTCTTTGCAGTAGTGAGAGATATTTGTAGTTTCACTCAACAGAGGAGGAAACTGAGGAGAGTTAAGTGACTTACTGGTCCAGTGGAGCAGAATTCAAACTCAAGTTTGTCAACACTTGGGTTATTTCCAGTAAGCCAAAGTCTTAAAGATGACACCTGGGAAAGTGCTTTGCGAACTATTAAATGCAATCAAGTGCAAGGACTTATAGTCCCAAATTAATGCAGAAATATAGACATTATCCAGAAGCAACATTCTGATGAAGGAATGAGTTTTTTTCAGGGCTTTTTCCTTTGTTTGGCTTCCCACTCCAACCTCAATCTGTTTATTTTCTAGGCAGTCCAGAGATACTATTTTGAAGTGACTCTTGAAACAATGGCAGCCTAATATAGTGAAAGGAATATTGGACTAGCAAGCAAGAGACTTTTAGTTCCAGCTGTGCCACAGAAACACGAATCTTGAGAAGTCACTTGCCCCTTCCTTTGTAAAATGAGGGGTTAGGTTAGAGGTGATTGCCAAGGTCGCTTAACTATGGTGACTCAGAGAAACAGAAAGCACCAAGAGAGCCAGAGTGGAGCCTCAGTGTCACTGTTACTGTTACAGTTCCCACTCTAACCTCGGGCACTTCAGCCATCCCTCCCACTGTGGGGAAGCCAGCCCACCTCCACCCTCTCCCCTTGCTAAGCCCCATGTGAGCCTGAGAGAACGTTTGGAGCCTAGAAGCAGGAGTTACAGACTTAGAGGAGATCTCTGGCAGTAAAGTACCCACTCCACCATCCCACCCGACCCACAGCCCCACCCTGTGCAGGCTGTGGCTGAGAGCCACCTCCCCCCAATTCTTAACTGGTGTTTCTTTCAGTCTGAGTAGGGTAGGCATAGACCCCAGACACAGCAGGGGTGGGAGGAGAAGATTGATTCCAGGGCAAGACACTTTAAGTCCTGGATCTAGCTATTTGCTTTTGGTTATACCAGTCACTCCCTCCTTTGTTATATGCCCATTGTTGCAGTAATTTCGGAAGGAATTGCAGGAACCTGTTTGCCTGTGGACTGCCCCACAGAGACCTTCCAGAACACTCAGCATCACATAAATGAAAGTGAATGACTGGAAACATGGAGATAAGTGTAAAGGAGACAAGTTGCTAGTTTTTGCAGGTACTAGGAAGTAAACAATTTTATAGCACATTACTAGTAAAGTCTTAGGAAAACAGCGCACACCCAGAGCCACAGCAAAGGGCTCTCTACAGACTGGCTATAAGGGCATAGGAAGGTCACTTAACCTCTCTCAGAGCCACAGTACTTTGGGATTAAGTAAATTGCCAAGGGCTAAATGGGAATAGTACCACCTACTTCCAAATAGGGCAAGGATTCAAAAGAGATACAGCTCCTGAAAAACAAACAGGTTTCCTTCTCCCTGTAAGAATCCTTGATTAGAAATCGGCTAAGGCTGGTCCCCTTTCCCAGCAGTAGCATCTAAGCCGAGTCTCCTCCCTCGGACCCACCCTCCCGCAGTTTGAGGGAGGCTTCCAAATAATCTTATTTAGAAAAACCAGTAATCGTACCAGCCTGTTAGTGTATCTCTGCTGTTTACCAGAGTGGAAATATAAAGTGCCCGCCCCTGCCCCCCCCCAAAAAAAGTGTTAGAATTTAAAATAAGAAATCTGAGTCGTGGAAAATTAGACAAGGAGACCAAACTGGTATGAATCCGGAGCAAGTTTTCACCAACTCCATCATATGTGCNCAAAAAAAAAAGTGTTAGAATTTAAAATAAGAAATCTGAGTCGTGGAAAATTAGACAAGGAGACCAAACTGGTATGAATCCGGAGCAAGTTTTCACCAACTCCATCATATGTGCCTTTCCCATATTTTATTAAATTCGTGTTTTTTTAAAAAAAATCAGCAGCATTATCAAAGACAACATATGTACAAACATTTTACAAAAGAAACATGACTAACATCAGCTGTAACAAGGGCGAGCTGAGGGGCCAGCCGCTGAGTTCCCGGGCAGAGTCCGCTCCCAAACAAAGACATCTAAAAATGCGCTCAGGCATCTGAGACCGACGTCTGGACCCCTTTCCCGGTGCCCAGCCTACGTGGCTGGTCGTGCAAATGATAGTAAGTGCGGCCCAGCGAGCCAACTCCTCGTCGGGAAGGCCAGGAGCCGAGTGGAGCCAAGCGGTTTAACAGCTTCAGCCGGAGACGGGAAAAGCGCCGTCTCCCATCCAGACGCCACTGAAGCCTTCCACCTCGACGGCCTCCCTCGTAAAGATGCTGCGGTGTCACACAGACCCTCGATTCTCATTCCTAACCCTATGCCAGGCTTCCCTTGACTCTTAGAGGTGTTGGGACCCAACGGGAAGGGATTTTAGAAATGCTTCCTCCAAGTCAGAAGTCACAAAGAGAGGTGACTCCCAGACCAGGATCCACCCAGCTGGGTGGGGGTGCGGAGAGGCAGGGATCCGGGGAGAGACAGGTCTCCTTTGGGCCAGGATTCAAGAGCCGTGACTGGGAGACCCGCTAGGGTCCGCGCCCCGCCCTCCCCGCGCCCCGCCCGTACCTACAAGCTCGGCGCCTTTCTCAGCTCCCCCAGTTCCTTGATCTCCACCTTCCTGTACTTCCCCGATCTCCGGCGGTTGCTGATCACCAGGACGACCAGGCCTGCGACCAGGGCCACCACGACCACCACGATGACGGCGATGAGGCCGCCGGTGAGGCGCTTCATGGAGAACTGGGGCGGCTTCTCGTCCAGGTAGTAGACGAGCGCGCGCTCCACCAGCAGCGGCTCCCCGCGCACGCTCACGTCGAGGCCGCCGCGCCCCGGGAACAGCGACTCGCCCTTGACGTCCCTCTCGAAGTAGTAGGCGGCGTCGGCGATGTCCACGTCGCCGGGGGCCTTCTGCGACGCGTTCTGCCGCAGCTCGATCTGGATGGTGGGCCGCTCGTAGTGCACGGCCGCCAGGAAGCGCGGGGGCAGCCGGTAGCGCTCGCGGAACAGCCGCCGCAGCTCGGCGTCCAGGTCCGAGTGGTTGAAGGCGCGCGCGGCCGGGCGGTGGCGCAGGTCTATGAGGATGTGGTGGGTGCGCACCAGCTCGTCGCAGCGCAGGCTCAGGTCGCCCTTGTCGGTGCGGCGCACGCCCACCGAGTTCACGCACCAGCACACCGACGTCTGGTTGCACTGGCGCGCCTTGAAGCGGCCCTCGGGGTCGCAGTCGGGGTCGTACAGGCCGTCGTTGTCCACGAGCGCGTGCTCGCTGGGGCGCACCAGCATGCGGCCGCTCTTGGTGGCTTTCACGCGCGCCTTGAGCAGCAGGCACTTGGCCGTCAGCGTGGAGCAGTCGACCTCGACGCCGGAGCCGAGCGCAACGCACCGGCAGCGGCCGCCTGGGGTGTCCCGGCTACAGATGGTCATCTTATTGGTGGAGCACGTACAGTTGTCCTGGGAGGCAGCCTGGCCGGTCACCGCCGCCGGGAGCAGCAGCAGCAGCAGCAGCGCGAGGCCCGGGCCCGGAGCCATGGTGGACGGGACGCGGGCGGACGGGGCGCTGGGGCTCCGAGGTCTGG